TTCTTTCGTAAAAAGTTCAACTGTCAACTCTACACATTCTAAACAGTGATTAAAGACAAACTGTTCAGACTAAATAACATAAGCCGTGAGAATCAACTTTAATTGACAAAAGAAACACTGTAAGTTGGCATAACTTTAGCCACAACATTTTTATAATCATAAGAATGCGACACAACTAAAGTTAACCAACGAAAAGAAAATCAGATAAAGGCAAGCAATAGCAATAATAATCCAAACTTATTATCAAAACATTACTAATCGAAATGAGCATTAAAGAATAATGAATTATGGATACACTATTTTTCCACAAGACAACGCACATGCGTAAATGAGCCAATATCAACAGAACCAGTTCACAGCCAGAAATAAGCAAAGATTAAACAGGATGAAGAAGGAAAGAAGACTAGCTTAAAATCATGAAAATAAAAAAACCTTTTATTCGTACACCGCATCATTTAAAAACTCGTCTTTCAAAGCGTGATTAGGAATCTTCTGGTCCACAGAGTTAAGATTCTGAATAACGTCCACATCCCACTGAAAGTAAAGTAAGGCAGCAGGGCACAGACGAAGTTCCAGGAGGGTTGACTCCTGTTTTCCTTCGAGCGGAGCACGAACCGAAGAGTCTTTTAGCGTAAACGGTGCCCAGTCTAGAGTCACGTACTTCCGCACAAACTCATAAACTTCAGACAACTTTTCGCTGGCGCTGAAGGTGCCCTAAAACAAAAATATAGGCTAGCAGTGACATAAAAATCTAAATATTACCTGTAGACTGTACTCGTCAGGGAAACGCACTCGGATCAGGGCGTATTTGTAAGAAGCAAGTTTTTTTATTTCGTCACGTTCCCGCATTTCCTTCGTTCTAAGCGTAAGCAGATTTTCTGACATTTCAGCCCGCTCGGACTGTTCCTTCCGTAACTCCTCTGGCGTTTTTCCAAAGAACTCCGCGGGCAGCTGAATTTCGGCAAGCGGTCGGCATGAAGCCCGTAAAATCTTTGGATTTCGATACAGTTTTAGAGGCACTGGTTTACCCTCCAGTAAGCACTGTTTTGCAGAAGCTAAGTCGATCTGCTTCGCATTATCCCAATCGAAGACAAGAAACGTCTCTTCGTTCTTAAAGCAAATAGAAATTATTCCAGTTTATTGAATAATCAGTGACTCAAATGCTTCGGAAGCGCAGTACACCAAACCATTTTTACCTCGTTCTTTTCCGCGAATCCAACAGCCTTAAGGAACTCAACGCCACCTTTGAGATCAGCGATTTTATTCTGAAATACTTTGTTCGACATACGGATTCGACAGTAAGTTTCATCTTCAGGGTGATCGATAATGTTTTCCAGGTACTTGAGGAGCACGCTGACGCCAGCATCGCGGCGCTCCTTTGTATTCAGCGAATAGATCATGACCGTCGATGTAACAAGTGGGTCTTCGTGGAAACAGTTCTGCAAGTATTCTTCGACCACATGGATCATTTCCTGCTTAGGTAGAGCCAGACTTGGGTCGAGAAGCTCGCAAGTAAACAGAATCCCTGAAACTCCCAGCAGCGGAGTTTCCGCAATGATCCGCGTCTCCGACTTCTGCTTCGTTGGGTCGATTTCGCTCTGCTTCACAATCCGCTCCAAATCGACCTGTCGTTTAGCCTAAATTCGTTTTTCGAATTCAGAGCGTTTTCAACCATGTAAAAAGGCATAAAAATTTAAACAAATAAAGTTCAAGAAAGATACAAATCTGACCTCAAAGGAAATCTGAGTGGCAAGATCAATTCACTGGGGTAGCAAAACAAAGCTTACAAAAATCAAACAAGGTGGATGCCAGATTAGAAAATAAAACCAAGAATACAATTATTTCGTAGCACGAAATTAAAGAAGAGCCACGTAAACCTAAAACTATATATTTTATTAAAATGAATACGCGATGTGCGAAGGGAAAAAATAACGCTGATGAAAGTTTGCACTCAGCACACGTCACTGATCAAAAAGTGAACAGTAATCCAGTTGCTTCTGCGCATTATATCATGTTGGACCTGTACTTTGTTTAAACACCAGTTAACTCATCAGCAGACTACAATGGACTGCACGATACAGTACTTTGAGGAACGCTATGATATAACGTACCAAAATATCTTACATAAGTTAGAGTATATAACACGAATTTTACTTCGAGAATATGCCCTTGCATGTGCTACACAGAAAGCATGACTTATAGTTCAACTTCATGACTTGTGGATAATGCATTATACATAACATACTATGCTATTCTGCATTAAGCTGTGACTTAACGTACAGTGCTGCACACAATACGACAAACTATTTAGCACTACACCATATACCTCAAAAGATGAACCGAGCATTTCCAGCTACTACTTAATCATTTTTGTCATCAATCATTCATCAGAACACTAAGATCTACTGACAGAAAGAAATATGTAGACGCTATACGTCAACGTAAAAATGCACGTGATGTGGGACGAATCTGTGGTAGTTAATTAAACAACAGACAGGAATGTCAGCAAACCACTACGCAAACTATCATAGTATCACACTTTCATCAATTCTCGTAAAAAAATATCTTCTTGTCTATTCTGGTAAGCCCGAGGCAGATATCCGGCGGAGGATTTTGCCAAAATGAGATAGGGTGTATTCCAGCTCTGCAAATTTTTACACTTCGTAAGAAAAATGATAATTCTTACGATTTAGGTAGCCTTGGTAGCCGTTTTACTAGGCCTTAAGGCTACATTTGAATTAGTTCATCGTCGTACGATGTGGCATATCTTAAAGTGTTAGAGGATAACTGGAAAAATACAGTACAGAAGGTGTCCTAGATAGAGCATAAACTATGACGCCATACTAAAATGCAAATATAGTGTCATATAGCATGGTATATGTATCCTATACAGTGCAGTATTGTAAAGAATGTAGTAAGTACTGTGAAACAAATCGTAATTAAAACAGTCGGTCATAACATCAAACTGATATTCGATTATGTACTCCTGTCATTTTAGGCATCTGCTCAGAATCCCGTAATACAGCTGTTGATTATAACTAAGCAACTTATTTATGAATGCCTTCATATGTAAGGACGACCCATTTTCATTTTGCAAACTGCCGTAAAATTTTCCGTGTTTGTAGACGGTTTCATGATTCTCCGATTGTGCCTTCTGACCCGGCAGAATCATATCGCCTTCCTGTGCCAGTGCCACTGATGCTTTTACGGACTTCATAGAGACTAGTGTTAGAACTTCACACTGTCAGTCCAATGCTACGTACAGTTTCATTCATTAAGAAGCACATAACAATTAAACAATAGTCTACTTCGTCCTTGACCGCACGTTGTGATCTAGACATGCTGGACCCGGGTCGATGAGACCCTGTCGCAGCCAGTCGACTCATTGCCGCTTCCGCAGCCCTCCTTTGGGCTTCAGTTAAGTCAGCCGGTGATCTCGTCTGAAACAAAGAAAATATAGAAAACGGACGACTGAAAAGATATTTCACAAACCGGCTCCTGAGACAGGTAAGCGGTCGATGAGGAAGAAGTTGGTCCAGATTGCGAACTATCGCCAAGTCGATAGCCCGGTCCGGCAGTTTTGAACTTTAACTCAGTTTTCTTTTTCCGGAAGAAATTTTTGATCTGATCCATCTCGACTAGACTTTAAACTCGTTCGATTCACTCTTCATGAACAGACGAATCTACAACGATTTAGCCAATAAGACAGCAACAATAGAAGAATTTCGAAATAACACAAACTAAAAATACAGAAGAAAAACTTGCAAATTCAAACCAACCAAGAGCAGAAAGTTAACCGTAAATAAACTGGCGCAAATTCAAGGAAAATTGTTGTCCATGAGACTGCTGATCACTGTCACTTGCCTTCCTTTATTATGACGATCAAAACACTCAACGCGGAGGAATAAGAAGCCTAGTAAAAACAGAAAGGGTGCAAGATTGATATTTGAACAACTCAAAAACTGTTAAGGAGGATTAAGAAATTCCTGCGTCCTATAGCCAAAAAAATGACACCAATTTAAAATGTAGATATAAATGGAATGAATCTCAAGTTGAGAGACAAACCCTATTGCTTCAAATAACCAACTAACAGGCTTCCATTCAATGACTCTTTCGGCAAGATTCGGGTTCTACTAAACCACAAACACTTGTATGAGGGCGTGTCGTGAAGTGGAAACCTGAGTAGAGTAGATAACATGCACAGAAGTTCAGAATTCCAGAGTTCTGGTGTTTTCTTGATGAGAGTGCAACTATGTCGAGTTAGACTGACAAACTAGCTTCTGCCCCTTTCCTCCGGATGAGGAGATGCTCCAGTTTCAGACTGTGACCTCCCGCTGTCGGTGTTGTTCCTTAGAGCTTTAACTGACGTATCATAATGGCATCACGTTGTAGCCTCCTACGTTCAGAACAGGTAGCCGACTCCATTGCTTTGTAGTATGTATCTTTATCACCCCTCTGGTACTTAGGCATGAAGCCGGTTTTGATCGCTGAATTTACGCAGCCTGTGCGGCCCTTGGTAACCAGGCTGAAGACCAACCCGATATGACGTTCGGTAGCATCAATACGACGATGAGCAACTGACAGAGTTTTACGGGACACTTCGCCAAGGTTGCCAATTTTTCTCATTTTTCATTCAGACTTGGAACCAACAAAGACTGAGTAAACATTTTCTATTAAATTACTTGAGAAAGGCATTCATATCAACTAGTTCAGATACAACCAACTGAGAAGCAGTTAGCGATTTATTAACTTTCCAACAATATGAGAAGCATAACGTTCAAAGTAGTAGTGAATGAGGTATCAGTTGCTTGGCCGTTTAAACAACAGTTTAAAAGTCTGATTCCCCAATCCAAGGTTAAAAGCATTCGCATTGGAACCTTTGATTTTCCTGGTAGCTAAGTAGGACCAGTACAAAATATGACCCGTAAAAATACAAATAGGATAAAAACAACATTTTTGTCAATAGATACTGAGTCAGAACGGTTTTACAACTTCGACACGAATTCTGCTGATTCTGTTTTGTCGAAACGACATTTGCTGATGAAAAGATTCAAGTGCTACCATTCGAAAGTCGAAACTCACAACCGACAATTATGCCGATAGTGAAGCGAAGGGAAACGACTCGTCGTTCGCACGTCAATTCTCTCCTCTTCAGCTGGTTAAGTTTTCATTTTAAGGAAATAACTACTGAAAGTAGTGTCCAGTGAAAGAAAGTACTTCAGCAAGAATTGGAAACGGTTTGTCTTACGAAGGTTAACTCAGTTATTTTCAACAGAACTCGATCTAAACTTTGACAATGTGCAAATCAATACCTTTCGCTGCGTCGAAGTTTGAATATTTCAAGAAATTTGTGGCGATCAGAGGACTATATGCCTTCCAAGCAAGGTTCAGGCAGAACAAATTAACGAATAAGAGAACAGCTAAAACTATCAAAACTTTCAAACATGTATCGACACTATCGAGCCAATAAATAACCGCTTGTAGTTCGAGCATTACAAAACACGGCGAAGCAAAATTATTACTATAGTTTCAAACCAGAATCTACAAGTACATACAATATGAAAATTCTAACGAATAACTTCTGAATTTTGTTGAAAAAGCTCACTCAAAATTACACTTTGCTGATTGTTTCGCAAATCAGTTTTTTTACTCAAATCGAATTTTAAAATATTGATTTTTTAAGAACAAATAAATGCCAAGCATCAGCATCACAAAAACTGAATATCTTGACAATATTTTGTCTTGAGGAAAACGATCATTGCGCACTCGAAATATCGACAGTAATTTACTAAAGGCATCTTGGTGTGTACTTTCGCCTAGCGTCAGAAACAACTGAATTTGAAGTAACCATAACTTTGCTTACAAATATGCTTTATTTCACTCAGTTCATTGCCAAAATCAATTTCGTTAGACGAGAGTTGAAGTGTCTTAAAGTTAAAAAGTTATTCGTTTTGCATCGAACAAGGTGAGTTACCCGTTTATGAATTGGAGCCTATCAGTAGAACAGACAATTTTTCCATTTCTGTAAATCATTAGTTATCATATTTTAGTACTGAGTATCACTGTCATTCACTGCAGGTTAGCCGTTAGAGGACAATCCTTAGCACAATTTGTAGTGATATAGTATTGGTAGTACTTGCGCAATCAAAACAAAGAGTAACGCTTGAAACTGATTTTCTTCAAATTCTGTTATTATTCATACGTTTTTATTCATTTACCGCTGACTCCTTTCAATTTTAAAATGAAGTGCAATGTTCTTCTGAACTTCTTCTTAGTTTATCTGATGCTGTTGATTCTTGAATCCTATCACCAACCTTCGCTTCACGTGGTCGACGCAATGAAGCTACAGACTATTAATGCTTTCAATGTTCTCTTTCTATACTCCTTATTGCAGGAGGTTGAAACAAACATTCTTCTGTTGACATCATCGTACATACATGTGTGTTTAAATTTTTTCAGTCGCAAAAACAATCACTACCATATGTTTAGCACCTACAATGCCAACTTTAAAGCAATCTTTGTCGCAGTTGCTGTGGGCGTTATTATGTTTTCCGTAATTTTATGATGTTTCAGATCGTGTAACATTATACAGATGTCGTCTTATGGCCCTCAGTCACTGACTCTGAAGCTAAATGCCTCTCTTTCCAGTCCGAAACAAGTAGTTATTCGTTGTTCAGCCATACTACATTATTACGAGAATGCAAGCACTTTTAGTTTGAAATGTCAGAAAGCCTAATCTTATCCGTAGAACATAAGCAGATGATATTTTCTTAGCCAAATCTTCATAATTAGGATGGTGGCTGTTGCCAAATGATCGACTTTTGCAGCTACAATTATTTACATAGGTGATTCAAAGACAATATTTTAGTCACGTTTCTTTTTAGCGAATATAATTACAGTGGTTCAATGAATCGGCGGACTCAGCTAAATTTTCTTTGCAACGATTGAATTCTTCCCAGATATTGGTATAATTCCGTATACTGCTAAGCGCGTAATGGGTTTAACCTGACGTTTTATCTACAGTAAATTCAGAGTTAATGCGTTGTCAGACCTGAAATACTTCGATATTCTCTTTAATGGTTTTGTGCATTTCTCATTATTGTTATGACGTTATTTTAATGGCTGAGGAACTTCTGAAAATTGTATTGTTAGCAGGATGATTTTGAATTTGTTCACTGCTTTCGCCAAGAAATTCCTGTCTAGAAACTTATTAATTAGAGTAACAAAAGCTTTTAAGAAACGTAACGACATAAGTTGTCTAATCTGTTTAAAATATCATAATGACGTTCATGCAGAATGAAGACCCTGCATTCTGCAGCATAATTTGTTTAGTGGTATATTTGTTGAGAGTTCTTTCACGTATTTCCCGCTATCACGGCCTCGGGTATAAGGGATAGTAAATGAACAAAGTCAAAGGTGTTACTTTGGGCAGGCGCTGACGGCTCACGTGAGGACGTCGCGGACCGTTGTTTCTGTTCAAAAGTTAGCCATGTGGTCTGGCACGATGACTGTTTTGACAGATCAAGTCGAAAATGGTATCCAGACTATACCGAAGGTTTCTATGGTGTATATTAATGTCCTCCACACTGCCCTTGTCATTATGAGGTTTCTCTTTGCAGCACAGGCCAAACGTAGGATCATTGTTGCACTGTCGAAAAGTATTCCTTTAAGTTACGCTTTAAAATTGTCAGAAATTCGATGTAGCCGA